CCTTCCACTAGGAGGCCCACTCGATGCAGCCCCGTCTCTTCCGTTGGAAACCGGGAACTGCTCTGCCCCCATGGAGGGCTGATGTTCACCGTTGCGTCCATGATCAAGGATGACTCCAAACTGTGAGTGTTTTCCTTTACGGCGCCTTTTCCCCGGAGGTTGGAGAGAAGAGCCGAATGGCTGAAGGCACGGGGAGTGGGGGGGGGTGTCTCCATGGCTCCAGCAGCGTACCACACACAGAGAGACATACACGCAGCCCAGACAGCTGTTCTGACCAAGGCTTCCTGACATCGTAATTAAGCACACACTTAGTTAAAACAACTCTTGTTTTATTTCAACGCTGGGAATTATGTGCATTCCCAGCTGGTAATGAGTCCTAAACAGTCCCCCGAGATAAGCACCCACCTTTCTCTCCTTTGAATTGCTCCCAACAACTAAAGTGCCAAATGAACTCTAAAAAATCAACCAAAGTATAAAGTCCACACAGAGCTTCAAGGTTTAATCCTAACAGAGCGAACGACTTTGCTTTCTGCAAAGGTTTCTCTACCTTTGCCTGTCCTTTATATCTTATGGGAGGGACAATCACCTCCCAGCCTTATCCCGAGTGGCCCCTTTTGTCTTAGCTGTTCTTGCCTTCTGACAGCTCTGCGCACACACGCACTGGGAGCAGGCTCCCCTGGTTCCTCTGCCTCGCTGCTGCCAGACTCTGGAGGCCCCACTCCCAGGTGGTCCTGGCCCCACCTCTGCATCGGACGCAGGATCCTCGTCTGAGTCCTCCCCAGACTCCTGGATTGGTCCTTGTTCTTCCCCACTGTCCAATTCCGCTGCCGTCTGCACCGGCTGCCGGCGAGCCACAACGCCAGCCTGTGCGCAATTCAACAGCCTTCCCCCGCTCCTCGACCCTTCCCTGGCGATTTGTATTTGGCATGGCCGTCCCTGCTGTGGGGATCCAGAGGTCAGCGTGGCCGTGGCTGGCCTTTGAGAGAAAACAGCAGGTTCTGCTTCTTTGGCACAGTATAGCTCTGATATGGCCCGACGAATGGGAAAAGATCCGAAAGCTTTTCGTGGTGGATCACGCCATCCGAGTCATCCGGAGGGAGGCCCCCCAGGAGAGCGCTGAGCGGCTGCTGTACATGACGGAACCTGGTGAGTGAGCGAGTGGAGGGTGTGTGTGTGTGTGTGTGTAGGGAAGTGGACACATTGGCATCCCGTGCGCTGTTCCCTGGCTTCTCTCCAGGGATCCCACTTCCGAAGCAACCTGGCGGGCAGCTGCGTGCTACGGGCAGCTACGTGCTACGGGCAGCTGCGTGCTACGGGCAGCCTCTCTGCCAGGACTCCTCAGGGCACACATGAGCTTTGCAGGGGGGAAGAAGCGTTGGTGGCGGGCCGTGTCTCCTTCCTTTCCCCCCTGATTTGCCAAGGGGGCCTCTGCATGTCCCCCTTAATTCTTCCGCATCCATCCCAACCCTCCTCACTCTGATCTGGCACGTTGTAATTCCAAGGACCACCGGAGGGACTTTCAACTCTTCTTTTTTTTTTTTTTACCCTGCCGCGACAGTCAGTTCGACGGGCTGAGTGTCAACTCTTAAATATTTCTACGGTCTTTTTAGAGTTGCCAACAGAAAGGGAAGGGGGGGGGGGAAGGGGTTTGAAAGAGCTGTGCGGCAGCTTGGAAGTCGAAAGCGCATCCCGTACATAGTTTTTCAAAGATAGTAACTGGGTGACTGAAGTTTCTGCCAGGCAAAATTCTAACTGGAGGACACGATCGATGACTCTGGGCTATGGATGTGTCCCATTGGAGGATATGGATTAGGATACCCCCAGGGGGTGGGTGGGGGGATACCAGGGTCAAGGGTGACAATGAATGATGTGTCTCAGAGTCGGCTACACCCAGGCAGTCATGTTAACTCCCAATAAATCCTTTGGAAGTTTTGCAAGTTTGGCTCGAGACTCATGATTTAATTGGGGGGTAACTGCCGGAATCCTGACAGCCAGCTGACTCTGAGATCTTGCAGAGCACACAGGGTCTTGGCCAAGATGGACTCCCCCCCCCCAACCATTCCTCCTTGCTCTCTCTCCCCTCCCCCCCTTTAGACCTGTGCCTGGATTGCCGAGAAGGCCTGTTGTACCAGCAGCAGCGAGACCTCCGCGAATACACCCAGGCCACCATCTACGTGCGGAAAGTGGTGGACGATAAAAAGGTTGGTTTTCCCTCCCCTCCTCTTCAGCCAGGGGGATTCGGCGCCAGGAATGCTGGGAACGGGGGAATGGATGCTCTGCTCTTGGCAGTTCAAAGCCCTCCCTCCCCTCCTCTGGGCCGGGCTCTTAGCCGAGCACTCAGTGGGCGTTTCTGCTCCATTAGGATGAACGGAGAGCCCGAAGCAGACCCGGTTCTGCTTTTATTCTTGAGCGGTTTTGTAAGCCCTTCCTTCAAGGGTGGAGGGGGGGGACTATTCATTAACGGCCAGGTTGCTTCTTTGATGTCGCCATCAGCAATTCTCTTAAAAGCGTAGAAGAAAGGGTGGGGGATCCCTCCCATTCGTTAGATGCATGTCCCAACGGCAGCTCCAGGCCTTGGCTTTGTCCACGGTAACTGCATGCCACACACCCCCACACACCCCCAATTCAAAGCCAGGCAGGGGTTTAAGTTGGGGAGGGGGGCAGTGGGGCGGGGGGCTTGGTCCCTTCTGGCTGTTTCCCACAGTGCACTTTCTAGAAAACCTGGACCTCTCTTGCTTGCACAGCCCTGTGTTCCAAAGTTGCTTTTTTTCCCCCCGCAAGAGACCAACTGGGCTTTCTCTGAAGATGTTTTGCTTCTCAGCCAAGAAGCTTCTTCAGCTCTGAATGGAAGAAGCTTCTTGGATGAGAAATGAAGAGTCTTGGAACAAGAGCTGAAGAAGCTTCTTGGACGGGAAGCAACAATTACGACCTGGATTGACTGAGAATCTCTACATAGACAGCCCTGTTGGGGGTGTATCCTCGTTTTTTGAGCCTAGACCCCAAGCTTCCCCGGGGGGTTTGTTATTAGTTGAGTCCAGCTCTGTTCCACTCTGTGTGAACATTCAATTCCAGAGAAGAGAAGAGAGTAGAAATAGAATGAAATAGGGAACTTAATAGTATATAGAATAGAATATGGAATGGAATGGAATAAGGGAAGAGAGAAGGAGAACAGAATAGAGTAAAGTAGACTAGAGTAGGTATAAACAATAGAATAGAATAGAGAATAGGAATAGAAAAGGGGAATGGAATGGAATAACAGAATAGAAAATAGAATATAATACAGTATAGAACAGAATAGAGTAATGAAAGAATAGGAATAGAATAGAATATAGAACAGAACAGAACAGAATAGAATAGAATAGAATAGAATAGAATAGAATAGAATAGAATTCTTTTATTGGCCAAGTGTGATTGGACACACAAGGAATTTGTCTTGGTGCAAATGCTCTCAGTGTAAATAGAATAGAATAGAATAGAATAGAATAGAATAGAATAGAAGGAGGGAAGAAGGAAAGAGAACAGAATAGAATAGATAGAATAGGAATGGAATGGAATAGAATAGAATGGAATGGAATAACGGAATAGAAAATAGAATAGAAATACAGAATGGAATAGAGTAATGAAAGAATAGGAATAGAACAGAATACTAACTTTATTGTCACCTTGAATGTACATTAATTGGCATACCTTGAAGTGAAATTTCTTTGTGTGCACCTCTCAAAAGGGTCACCGCCTCCAATACACACTACCTAATATAACAGAAATAGACAAATATATACAGATAAATAAAGAATTATGCCTATGCCCACAAATACCATGAGAGGAGGTTAAGAGCACTTCCTGTCTCTCCTCTCCGTCCCCCGCCTGGTATTCTCCCTCACCCACCCAACCCAGGTCATGAAGGAAGCCGCTCCAGAGCTGAACATGAGCAGCTCAGAGGCCGAAGAAGAGAGGGAAGAGGCCAGGGCAGAAGGGGAGCACGATCCAGATTTCAACCAGGTAAGTTCTGGTCTGGGCGAAATGGAAGCGGTTCTCCAGCGGCTCTGAATTCTCAACCGGAGTCTCTCCTCTGACGCGTCTGGGCGAGTGGGAAGACCCTGGACAACGTGGTGAGGGAGGCGGCATGGCCGTGTTTAGAGGCAGCTTAGTGTTCGTGTTAAACCGGGTTAAAACGGAGGGGGGAGATTTGTCAAGGGGAAATGGGGGGGGGGGGGGGTGTCCCCTGTGATCCAGACTCCGATTGCCCTGGGCAGCAGCACCAGCAGCTCCCATGCTGTGGGTCACCTTGAGGGTTCCCAGGAGGCATCTACAGGTAGTCCTCAACAACAGTTCGCTTGAGTGACCTTTCGAAGTTACAATCCAGTTTTGGTCACTACACTATAAAAAAAGAGGTTGAGATGCCAGAAAAAGTGCAGAGAAGAGCAAACAGGACGATGAGGGGACTGGAGGATGAAACCTGTGATGAACGGTTGCAGGAACTGGGCCTGGCTGGTCTAGTGAAGAGAAGGACCAGGGGAGACAGGATAGCGGTCTTCCAATAATTGAAGGGAGAGGGAGAGAAAGAAAAGGAAAAAGAGAAAGGAAGGAAGGAAGGAGAGAAAGAAAAAAGAGAGAAAGAGAACAAAAAGGGAGAGAAAGAGGAGAGAGAAAAAGGAAGGAAGGAGAGAGAGTGACGGGAGGCTAAAACATACGATGAACAGTTGCAGGAACTGGGCCTGGCTGGTCTAGGGAAGAGAAGGACCAGGGGAGACAGGAGAGCAGCCTTCCAATATTTGAGGGGCTGCCCCAGAGAGGAGGAAGGGGGTCAAGCTATTCTCCAAGGCACCTGTAGGCCAGACAAGGAATAATAGATGGAAACTGATCAGGGAGAGATTCAACCTGGAAATAAGGAGAAATTTTCCAACAGTGAGAACAAGCAACCTTCAGAACTTGTGGGAGCTTCATCACTTGAGACTTTCAAGAAGACATTGGACTGCAACCTGTCAGAAATGGTGTAGGGCCTCCCGCTTGGGCAGGGGGTTGGACTAGACGACCTACAAGGCCCCTTCCAACTCAAATTATCTGTTAATCTGTTACGAGGGCACTTGAAAAAGATGACTTACGACCGCTTGTCACCCTTAACGACTGTTTCGGCATCTCCATGGCCCCCTGATTTACGTTCGGATGCTTGGCAGCCGACTCGCATTTATGACAAGTCCCGGGGTCCCCTTTGGCAACCCTTCTGATTAGCGAAGGCGAAAGCAGGTTCGCTCAGCGGCCGGGTTGCTAATCTTAACAGCCGGAGCGAATGTGGACAAGAACCGGCGTAAAAATGGGGCAAAACTCCCAGGACAAACTTCTCCCCATGCAACATAAGTGTTGGGCTCCATTGTTCGTCTTAACTCGAGAACTGCCTGTCTTGATCTGTACAGTGGATTTTCCCAAAAGGGAAGAGGGGAGGGGTGAAAGCAAAGGGCCCGGCAGGTTGGGGTAAGAGCTAGGTTGGGACGAGTTGGGGAAGACTTTCCCTCCCCTACCCCACCCCGCTGTAATCTCTTCCCTCTCCCAGGCGAACAGCAACGCCAAGCGGCAGAAAGTCGCCCACCCGAACTCCGTGGCCTGTGAGAAGCAGGGCATCCGGCGCAGCACCCGCCACAGGAGGATACGGGGGGAGAAAGCCCTCCTCGTCTCCGCCAACCAGACGCTGAAGGACCTGAAAATCCAGGTGAGGCCGCGCTTGTGGCTGCAGCCTCCCTCCTGCCCGTGCGCAGAGGGGGGCCCCCTCCGTTAACTCAGAAGGAGCGTTGCAAGCTGCCCGCAGCGTTGAGGCCCGTTCTTCCTGGCCTTCTGGCCGTTCAGGAGACACGGAGTGCCGAGGGGAGGGGTTGGAGTTCTGCAGGAGAAAGATACAGTGATGGGTTCCCGGGTGGGCAGGCCCTCCCTGCGGAGAAGCTCACTGTGACGACCCAGGGTGGGATACAAAAGCAACACAGTCACACAGACAGGTGGAAGTCCCTTTAATTCTTTCAACTTTGGCTTCAAAGGTCCAATTATCATTGACTGGAGACAAAAAACTCCCCCACAAACAGTTGCGAAAAGGAAGCACTTCCGTTCAAACTCAAAATACATATAAATTATAAATAGGAAAAAAAAAAACACAAACCACACTGGAGCAATTAATGAGACAAGGCAGGATAAGGGCTTGAAGACGTCCACAGATATCGAAATACACACACTTGGGAAGGACGCCAGGACTCAGAACTGAAAGACTAGAATTATTTCCACGCTTTGCTTCCAGCCCTGGTCCGTGCGCGGTTTCTCCTTTTAAAACAGTCCTCACAGCTGCAGCCCATGAAGGGGATCAGGACCCTTTCCTCCCCCCGTAGACCACGCCATTCACGTTTCTCCCTTCTCCGCTCCTCCCTGCGTGCCCTAGGACGAAGAGGGGATGGGCCTGGGTCTTCCTGTGAATGTCCAGCCGGCCTGTGCCCTTGCCCAATTTCCTCCACAACCTCCGGAGCCACACTCCCACTCCCCGTTGGCTGTTCCTCCTCCTCCTCTCCCTCGGAGTCAGATTCTAACGGGCGTGTGACACTCACCTGTTCCAGTAAAGCAGCCACGTGTCGGCGTTGCACTCGTAGAAAGCAAAACTCCGAGGCAGGGAAGAAATTCCTCACGGAACAATTGATGGGTTACATCCTATCGGCACGACTGGGGAAAGCCGACTCTGAAAGTTTCCCACGGCTTTCCCCTAATTAAAAAGTCTAAAAAGTTTTCCACTGGTCCCTGGTCCAATCATGCTGTCCAATCCAGTCGCGGGCCGGTTGCTTGGTTACTTGGCTCCTCCCCTGGCCAGCCCCCTGTGAGAATGTCCTTGGTTCCCACAGGAAAGCTTTTACTGTTTTGGCTACACAGTTGAGCTATTTCCCCACCCACCCACCCACCCTCGGTTTATGTGGCCACCCTGAAGCCCCCACCGAGATGGCCTCGGCCAGGTTCGCTTCGGGGTCGACACCGTGTGTGTGTGTGTGTGTGTGTCTTTGGTGCAGATCATGCATGCTTTCTCCGTGGCTCCCTTCGACCAGAACCTCTCGATCGACGGGGCGGTGCTGTCCGACGATGTGGCCACGCTGGGCAGCCTGGGGGTCACTCCCGAGTCCGTGGTTCTGTTGAAGGTGAGCGAGGCGCAGCCCTCGATGCAGCAGGGACTGCGGTGGGCTCTCCCAGTGGTGCCTTTCCCTCCCACCTCCCCACCCCCCAAGCTGCTCTGCTTCAACTCAGAGGCTCAGCTGGAGGTCCCCATGGGGGGGGGTGGGGGGGTCTCTTCCTCTCGTAAGGGCGTTGCAAAAGTTGGGGGAAGGGGGGGGGCAACTTTCTCCCCATCTTAAAAACCCCCGGTTTTCCCTCCCCAAAATCAGGCGGATGAGCCAATCGTGGATTATGCAGCGATAGACGACGTTATGCAAGGTAAGCTTCCCTCCTCCGGCATTCCTGGTTTCCCCCCCACCTGCCAAGCCCTGCGGGGGGGGTGGGGGAAGGAATGGGGTGGGGGCAGGAGGCAGAGGCCCCGAATTTTCCTCCCAGCCTGGTAGAGAGCGGTGGGCTCTGGAGGCTCCACTGAACTGCCTCTCTCTTCCTTTCCCAGTCTCCATTCCGGAGGAAGGCTTTAAAGGTAGGTCGGCCTCCCCCTCCCTCCCCCTCCTCCTCAGACCCAAACCCCCCTCCCTCCTCCTAGTGCATCTTGGAGAACCCTTTCAATCGGAGCCAGCCCGCCAAAAAAGCCAATGAAATCCTACCCTGCATTAACCAGAGGGATAGAATCAGGATCAGGTGAACTGTTAATGCCACTTTATAAGGCCACCCTTGGAAGACTTAACACCCAGTTTCGGTCTCCACGATGTAAAAAAAGAGGTTGAGACTCGAGTGCAGAGAAGAGCAAGAAAGGATTAGGGGGACTGGAGGCTAAATATATATAAAGAACGGTGGCTGGAATTGGGGATGTGTAGTTTGATGAAAAGAAGGACTAGGGGAGACATGATAGCAGCGTTGCAATATCTCAGGGGCTGCCCCAAAGAAGAGGGAGTCAAGCTATTCTTCAGAGCACCTGAGAAGGCAGGACAAGAAGCAATAAATGGATGGACACTAACCAAGGAGAGGAGCAACCTAAGAACTAAGGAGAAAATTTCCTGACATTTAGAACAATTAAACCAGTGGAACAACTTGCTTCCAGAAGTCGTGAATGCTCCCAACGGTGGAAGTTTTTTTAAAAAAGACGTTGGATAACCATTTTGTCTGAAATAAGTTTCCTGCCCAAGCAGGGGGTTGGACTAGAAGACCTCCAAGGCCCCTTTCCAACTCTTGTTGTTATTCTATTCTATTTCCAGGGACGGGTCTCCTTGGACACTAACCTTCGTCCTTCGGCCAGCCGGCCACTCCTTTTGAAATAGCCAGGAATGGAAAGGATTTGGGCCCTCTGGGGGAAAAGCGAACTCAAAAGACCGGCCCGAGGGACCCCATTCGGCCATGGCTGCCCCCCCCCCCCCAAGAGGCCTTGCCTTGGTGCACATCTGTGGGGAGCGAGAGGACTCCCAGAGGGGAGCCCCCACTTTGGGGGGTCCCCCCTCAAAAGCAGCTCTATTCACTTTTTTTACAAGCGGAGGAGGAAGCCAATGATGGTGAGCCTCGACCTCCTGGGACCGCGTGGGAAGCCCCACGTCAGACACCCACCACCCACCACCACCACCCCGAACTCCTGGAGAAAGTTGCAGCCGGCGGGAGCGGAGAGCCGGGCCCTCCTTCCGGACCCCTTCCTCCTGCTTTTTGGGGGCCACTGTTCCTGCACAGAAGGAGCAGCACCCCCCTTCCTCCCTTCCCCAAATCCGGGGCCTTTTCTTGCAGGACAGCTGCAGCGTCTCTGACCGAGGAGGGGCTTCGGGGGCCCCCCAAAGTTTGCAGCCGCTTCCCCAGTTCTTTTTCCCCCCGCCCCAAAGCAACGGAGGCCCCGGGGTGTGTGTGTGTGGGTGTTCCTGTGGTGGTGGGGTGTCGTCTTTTTGTTTTAATTTCAATTTTTGTTTGCCACACCTTCCCAAGCTTGGCCAGCCGGTGGACAAGCCCTCAGCATCCTTGTTGTGGGGGGAGAGAGAGCCAAAGGGGGAGATATTTTTTTGGGGGGGGGGGGGAAACAGAGGCTTTGACATCTCAGCTGTCACTCCAGGCCCGTTTGCCATAAATTGGGGAGGGGGGCGCAGCCCAGCAAGGCAGGTTCCTCCTCCTCCAGAGCCTCCCTTTCCCAGAAGTGGG